GGAGTCAGCAGCCAGGAGCTCTGCCTTTTCTCTGACTCTATGAAATCTCAGTATCAACTTTCTGTAATCCACTTTTGTGTAATTAAGAATGTGCCTGTTCACCAAATTATTTATCCTCAGTATTGAGCTCTTCCATCAATGGACTGCATATCCAAACCTACTGCTAAGAGTAGTTTCTCATACCTTAAAATATACAGCATTAACTTGGGATAATTTAAACTTTATTTATTTTTGATATCTCATGAATGATGCCTTGTTTAATTTGAGGTTTGTCATAAACATGGAGAAAACATTTGCTTGTACTTGAATTTACATTTCCTTGTATAAAAAGAAAATGTTTCAGAACTTCCCCAGAACTTTCAATCCCACTTGAGGTACTTGAAATAAATGACTCAGAGGTGGTAGCGCTGTCTTCCAGTCAATTTAGCGAGTAAAATCTAGTCTTAGAATTCTCAAAAGTACCTATAATCTCTCACATGAGAAATACTTAACTGCAGCTAGATAGTTTCAGTAGATACCCTGCTTTGTCTAGGAATTTTATGTAAAAAACATGCTCATTTGGAGTCTCTATATTTCTAACTCCACTTTGAAAATGTGTATCCACAAGAGTTTTCTGAAGATATTGGTTAACTAGAAAGCAAAGGAATCACTCTCTCTAGTTAAAACAGAAAAAAATTTAAATTAGTTTTCAGTCTTCCTTTTTATGAAGGTTTGAATACAAGGATGCTTGCCATCTAAACAAAAGTGTCATGTCAATTGTATGAGAATTTATAGTATTTCAAGCTTTTTCATATTTGTGATAGAATCTATTGTTTGTCATGGGGGAAGACTCAGCTAGAATTTGAAACTTCAAACATTGTTTTGCTCAAAAGCAGTAGTATATAGTTATTAAAGTTACTTATATCTGCTTAACAGCGAATCTGCTTCTCATGGGAAAGTTACAGATGCTTTCATTCTCCCAGAAATATGTCAAAAAAGATTATATGAAAGTAAAGAATCCTTCAAAATATCTCTTTGTTTGGGTTTTTTGGGGTTTTTTTTGGTTGGTTTTTTTTTTTTTTTTTTTTTTTAATCCTTTTCATTTTGCATACCCCTGCTTCCATCTCTATAGCTGACCAAAGGGATACAGATTTCCTTTGAACCTTATTTAACTCTTAGGAGTTTGGAGCTGAAACTCTGGAATATGTTACTTGTTTGAGTGGAGCAATTAGTTACAATCTACTTACAATGGGCTTTTATTCTTAATTCACACAGAATCAAAGAATCAGAATTCACTCAAGGTTACTGGAAGCTCCTTGTAAAATGCATTTCTTGTCCACAGCTGCTTGTCAGAGACAAGTCCTGTGTTCATTAAAAGCATACTAAGAATTTAGCAGAAGATGAAAGGGATTTGGTGAAATTAGAAGGCAAATCATCCTCCTGGTTATGAAAGTGAAGTGGGGAGGGTGCATTGGGGAAGGACAGTCTGAAAAGGGTACTGACAGTATTTTGGATGAAACAGATCCCATTTAGCAAGTGAAATTTTGTACTCTGTACTGCTCATGGCAGATAGCATTGATTAAAAGCTTTGAGGGAAGCTTTCTGATGAATTTAGAAGTTTAAATCAAGCAACTTGATAATTTCCACAATCAAACCCAAGTATATTGTGTTGAAGTGGGGAATGGACCGGTTCTAGGAATTTCCCCCTCAGAAACAGAGGAAGGGATGAGCTTCACAGGGCTGAAAATGTGAAGAATAAGCGAGGCACTGAGGCTGCCTGTGCAGTTGCAGTGGATACATCCTGTCCTCATCCCATCCAAGCAAGGAGCTCTGAGGCAGGGAAAAGCCAGCAGACCATGTTGTCATATGGCTGATTCCCCAAGGTTTGCCTGTGAACAAAGTCCTAGACAGACTTTATGCTGCTTCTTGAGTGGAAAGGGGAACACTGAAGTAAAAATATGCCAGCGAGCTACTGCATTGCTACTGGGGCTAGACATTCCTGCCCTCCACATGCAGGAGCTCTGTGGTACACAGGGATATGCAGCAGCATTCCTATGACCATGTTCTCTTCTCCCAGCAGAGTGCCCAAAATTAAGTTTTCCTTGTTTTTTACCTAGCAACAGAATTCTTCTTTTTTTGTCTTTGTTATAATTATTTAAAGAAAGAAATAATACTTTCCTGACACAAACCCCTTGGGAATTACATCAACCATATGAAATATAAATACGTTTTTTCTCCTGTTGTATAAATAATGGATTAGGTTTTCACTGGAGAAACTGAGAGTAGGATTTAAGGACAACTTGTGTAACTCTCAAAGTAGGCTGTGGTGTACAGCAGCAGACTGTTATAAAACATGACACAGTAGGAAATGTGATTAATGTGTGATGGAAACCCCTTGGTAGATCAGGTCACTAAAGTATGTACCCTACCCATGGTTTGTCTTATGCTCAGTGAGCATCTGGACAGAAATAAACTGCTATCTGGTGGTGTGTTATTTTATCCAGTAATGTGTGATTTAATAATACAATTGTCACAAAATACCTTTTCTGTGTTTATGGAAGAAAAGCATTTAGCAGTTTTTAGGATAAAAGACAAGAATTTGAGCATAAAAATGAACTACTATTCTTCCCTCAAGGAAGATACAAGTCTGATTTAGGGAGAACACCCAGAGCTGAATGTGAACTTGGTGTCCTCATACCAATTAGCAGCAGATGAGAAGCATGTTGCAGAGCAACAGCCTATGTAAGAGCTCTGGGATGCTCACAGAGTGCCTGCTTGTTTTATGGGGCCAGCCAAGCAAAACTGCCTGCTTGGCATGTGCTCCACTGGGCTGGTGTTTTGTCACTGTTGCAAGACATTGCTTTTGTAGAGAAGTAAATAAAATGTGACTGCCAAATCCCCTAGCATGAGTTTTCTAAATCTGGTGTATCCAGACCCCTGATTCGGAATTGCATTAAGACCTCCCAGGAATTCTAACCTGGAACAATTCAAGCTTCTGTTGATGCATAAACAGGCATGTTTATGAAAACAGAGTAGCTTGGATCTGTTTGTCCCTTTTTGATTAGTGATGAGCTAATTTTATTTTAAAACTTTACTCCTTGGTGCATGAAGGGACAGAGTGAGCTCAGTGGAGCTGAAATTTCCTGAATTATCATTTTAGCCCTGACTCTGGTTTAGGGAAGCATATTGGGTTAATCTAAAGTTGCTGTGACTTTTTCCCAGTTTTCTGAGTCAGACTTTCTTTCATATATTAGTGCAGGGAACACTGACAAATTGTAGGACTCTGCAGCCTATAATTGATATTTCCAGTTATTTTGTTCTTTTGTTGTTGTTGTTGTTTGACAAGGTTTATAAGTCAAGATTTAGGTAAAATTTAAATATCAGCTTTCTTTTCTCTGGCTGAATTCTATCAATATTGCATTTGTTGTTTACAGAAGTGCAATCTGAAAACTGAATTCAGAGGAATTATCTAGGAATAAAATATATTCCCAGTGTGATATATTTTTATTGTAATGAATCATAAAATGGCCTGGGTTGGAAGGAGTCTGAAAGATTATCCAGTTCTTACTTCCCTGCCATGGGCAGGGACACCTTACACTAGACCACATTGCTCCATCCAGCCTGGCCTTGAACACTCCCAGGGTGGGGCATCCACAGCTTCTCTGGGCAATCCATTCCAAGTTAAGTGAGGGACAGTTTTGTCTTGTGTGTTCTGAAAGGAAAAAGTAGTTTTAGCAACAGAGCTTTGGTGTAGCTTACCTATATGAGAGCAGAACCAGAAATTAAGATAATAGGTTTAATTAACAAAAAAATCTACATTTTAAACCATCATGCTCAGAATCTTTAAATACGAATGCTGATAAATAGCTAAGACATTCATTAAATGTGCTCTATATAATAGGAATTTTGTCAGGTTGTGAAAAAATGTTAAGCTACTTTGAAAATAAAATTTGTCAGATTGTTTCCAGAAAAATGGATTTTCTTTGGGAGATTTGTGTCCATATGATGTTTTTCTCATGAAAAATTTAAGACACTAAGACAAATTTCTCAGCTACATGCCAAACCACTTTGCTGTTTATTTGCAAGTTATTTTTCTAACAAGAAGGTAATGTTAAAAGTAGCTTTTTTCTAATTTCTAAAGATAAGCCTTTTTATGACAAGTTTTCCCTCTTGCCTCCTTTGAAGGGTGTGTTGTTCTGCTAAAAAGTGAAATAATGTCAGAAGTTCTGAGATGCTACTGCTCCCTCAAAACATTATTGATCCTTTGGAGGAGAAAAACGTTTGAATTAAAACTCAGGACTTAGTCTTATGAAACTTTCCTGTAGGGTTCTGCCTGTGTGACCTTGTCCAAATCATTAAATACTGATACTGGGAGATGTACTGAGGGCATTCCACAGGTGCTGGGCCCTGTGCTCTTTGTATTTAATTTTCTCTGTTCTGAGTGGACCAGCAGCAATGGAGCCGTCAGAGGAATTTGGGGTACTCTTTTACACAAACCTGTGAAGACAAATTATTTCCATTTTCAAATGGACAGAGCCATGAGCTGTATCACTAAGCTTTGTTCAAAGGAACCAAAACCTTTAATAATGAAGAATCTAGGCAGTTCCATTTATGGTAGAAATCCCTGTTTTGCTCATCCAAGTGGTTTAGGCTTTTTTTAAAGCCACTTCACTTTGAAACTTGGTCCATGTGAAGGAAAATGGTGTCATTTACAGGTGTTGTGTAGTGTTTACACCTGTGTAATTTACAGGTGCTGCAGCCTGTTAAATGCCCAGTGACAGACACTGGCAGGCTAAGGCATAGATCAACCAATTGCTATTAACTACATGTAGTAGATGATAAGAGAGTAGCTCAGAGAGGATTGTATGACCTACATTTTCATTTAATTTCTCACTATGTTTGCTGTGTCATATGGTTAACCTGGTTAGCCTGTTTTTAACTGTTCTGTTTCTGCAATTCTTTGAAAACTTATAATGTATGATGTGTAACCTATTAAACATCTCAAGTTGCTTGTAATTTAGGCTTTGGAAACATCTCCCCACGCACACAAGGTGGAAAGATATTCTGTATCATCTATGCCTTATTGGGAATTCCTCTGTTTGGTTTTCTGTTGGCTGGTGTTGGAGATCAACTAGGGACAATCTTTGGAAAAGGAATTGCCAAAGTAGAAGATACCTTTGTTGTGAGTATGCTGACTGCCTCATTTTGTTCTTTTCCTGCTTGCTCTGAATCTCACACGTGAAATGAAAAGCCTGAAAAACAGGGTATGGCTCATTGTTGCAATCAGATGTACAGGAAAAGGTAGAAAGGACTTCGGCACAGTCTGAACTTGCTAATGAGCACCTCTGAGAATTAGGTGAAGACATATTCCCTACCATTTTTATGGTTGGGAAGAGGAATAAGACCTAAAGAATTTTGGTTTTGCTCTGTCCTTGTTACTCGTAAGCTTGCTGTGATGCTTACCCTTAAAGGTTTTTATCTAGATTGTGATAAGAAATGTATTCACTGAAATTTTTGAAGCAATGAATGCTTAGTAACCAACTTTGTAGCTGTTTGCATCAGCACTGCAAGTGTTAGGACTGGTTTTCCACATCAAGCCCTACCCTTGCATGCAGGACACCTTTTCTTTATGGAAAAGGTCTGACATGGCTTTGGTTTTCATGCAAAGCAATCTGGGCCTGTGCTAAGTAGTCTTATGCAACAGGCAAACGCAAGCTTGAAAGCTTTTTGAGAAAAGGCATGCATTTTCAGCTTTGAAACATCAGTTCGTGTCCAGACTAGGTACTGGAGAATAACATAGATTTCCATTGAGATTTGTCTGAAAAAGGAAAGAACATTCCATGAGAACATTTTATAATTTCTGGGTTTTCATAGCTGATTTTATTTTTTTATAGTTATAGAAGTTCTGAGATCAATTTGTGCCTCTTTTTTGCTTGTAGAGATAATGATTTTCCTTTTTTTAAAATTCTGGGTGTATCCCTATAAGAAGAATGCCCCAAGATAAAAAGCAGTATCACCCCCTCTTTTGACAAAATCTGAGTGAAAACATTGATCTAGATGTTGCAGTCTGGAATACTCTCTAATTCTGTTATTAGCGTGCCTAAAGAACTGGGAAATGCTGATGGGTCAGAGCAGGTGTAATAGCTTGTGTTATGTTGCCATAACACAAGCTATTACTCTGATTTGGGTTACAAAAGCTCGACCTTGGTCATGCTGACTGTAAACACAGTTCCCACTGAAACTTAAAAAACAAGAAAACATCCACTGTGAACAACATAATTTCATTTTCAGTTGATTTCTGTGAAGGTTTCTTGTATAATCCCTTCTTTTAGGTTAAACTGACATGCATTGGAGGGATGAAAAATGGCAAATTGGCTGGGCATACAAAATGGAATTTTGCAGGGGTCTGTTCTAGCTGTAGTGCAGTTTAGAAAAATTTTAATAGCTTACACAACAGCTAAATGATGTGGTTCATTAAATCTGCAGATGGTCTCAAGCTGGGGAGACAACTAAAACTTGGAGGATCAAAATGATCTTAAAATTTTTGAAAAGAAGTCTGACTAGATAGGATTAAATTTAAGCAGGACAAATACAAAGTAATATATGAATATAATAAAATACGCAGCTGCATGCCAGGAAACAGCTGTCTAGGTGCAATTTTATGGAAGTGTTCTGTGGACTCTAGAAGTTAACATGCTAACATGGGTTAATGTCATACTGCCATGGAAAATAGGCAAAGCATAAGAAAGGCTCGTTCCATCCCATTTAGTGCTATTTTTTCATATCTATTTTTGAGTACAACACTTAATGAAACATGGGCTAGTTTGCTGGTGCCAAGGGATTGCAAGAAAAATAGGAAGGGGAAGAAGAGGAAATAAATAAATTTGGTTAAAAGAACATGTAACTGATAGAGAACTCCTGTGAAAGTTTGCTGGAAAGAGAAAATTAACAATTTCTGTATTTGTCTTGGATAAGACCATAAACAGTACACTTAAACAGGAGTTAAGATGTAGGTTAAGCATTAGGAAAATTATCAGATGACAAGAGTATGATCACAGGTTGCCTGGCCAGTAATATATTTTCAGTGGCTTAGGTGGGTTTATTTCGCCCTTGGGCAGGTTTGGCTCTCTTACATCCCTTCCAGCTCTGCTTTGTAGGATATGGTTTAGCCGATTATTTGATTGCAGAGAACTGTATGATTAGAATTCACCTTATTTAGTTGATTATTTGTGGATATACAAAATGAGAGAAATTGCAGGTGCATGCACTACTTGAATATCTAGACAGCCCTCAAAACTTTTACATCATCAGCTGTTGGTTTTACTGAATGCTACACATCCTGCTCACCTGGGAAGAGTCCAGCCCTGCTCTGCATTGACTGCTGGCAAATGTTTCCTAGGATAGTCATGCTTGCTTTGAAACCCTTTTCAGAATAAAATCCTGCTTGAATTTTCCTGTTTGTTTGAGAATTATAATGCAGTGTCCTCTAGAGCTATGTAGTGCACACTAGGAGGTGATGGGTACTGATGTGCACAGGTGCAGTTTTATTATCAATGGGTTTCCTGTCTTTCCCCTTCCCTTTCCAGAAATGGAATGTGAGTCAGACCAAGATTCGCATCATTTCAACAATAATATTCATACTGTTTGGCTGCGTGCTGTTTGTTGCCCTTCCTGCAGTTATATTCAAGCACATAGAAGGCTGGAATACATTAGATGCAATTTACTTTGTGGTTATCACTTTAACTACCATTGGATTTGGTGACTATGTTGCAGGTAAGATGTTTTTCATAACTCTTTATCTTATAATGTTTTGCACATTGATATTTATTCTGCATTTTTTTTTCTTTGTTTTGGGACAGATGTATCTCTCTTGTGGTACCTCTCTCCCAGTTTTATCCTTTATGATTCATGTGATGGGGCCTGTCCTCATTTAGATTGATGTAACGGCATAGAGATAGGAGGTGGGACACTGAAATTCGTGGTGCATTTCTCTGCCTACTGCTTTTTCCTCTTCCTATCCTATTAAAAATTAAGTAGAGTATCATTTAGGTAAGGGTTTTGTTTTATTTTTCTTACAGGTTGCAAAGAGCAAATACTAATTGAGTATTTTAATCTGAATACATTTTTCAGCTGGGCTTGTTTGAAATGCCTCACCCTGTGAAGTGATATTGTGTGTATCTGTTACTTTCAAAATATTCCAAAGCTCTCTTTCTGCCATTGAAATGTCTGTATTCTGTAGGATCTGCTGCATCCTACTCTGTGACTCTTTGTCAGTACACATTTGCCCATGTGCTTTTTGTAATGTCAGGAGAAGTTTTAGCACAACCCATAGATAACGTGTCCAATTCTTATGGTTCCATTAAGATGATTTGTAAATCACTTCGATATACTGAGCTAAAAAAAAGTCTGGGCCAGCTCTCTGTGTCAACTTTTTTCTTGAGAAGATGTCAGGGGTGTTAGTTCACCTCTTAGATTTGTGTAAGTAAATGCTGTTTGTGCTGAGAAAGCATGTTGATGCAAGTCAGTGATGTGTAGAGGTGAGGATTAGAAACTCAGAGCTTTGTGGTCCAAACCTGAGACTTGCTTTCCTTGGCCTTCTGCTGATACAGAACCATAATTTCTCTCATGAAATGCCTCTCTTCCCACCTCTGAACTCAGTGCAAGGCAGAGGTGGCTCACAAGGCCTTTTGCGCTGGTCTGCTCTCAGTGAGAGGCTATGCTGGAGGGAATTGTTTTTAGTAGACACTCACATGCTCTGGGCTCCTCCTGTGTCTTGTCTGTGCCCATGGCTGTTGTGTGAGTCCAAGTGTGCCAAGCTGAGGTTCTCAGGCTGGGTAACTCCTCTTGTAGATGTGTCTGAAGTTTTGCCTTGATGGCAGTAAAGGGCCTTGTCACTGGCAGAGATTTTTCAGGTTGATGAGGTCCAACAAGGACCTCTAAAATGTCAGAACTGCTTGACACATTTGTAAATTATGTGGATAAAATGGGGATAAATTTAGTTGTTGAAGATACTAAGCTACTCAGGCAGCCTTCATTTTTAGACTGCTTACAAACTTGTCAAAGATTCCTGTAAACTACAGAACTGAGCTGTAAAATAGCAAATCAAATTTCTTTTGACTTTTACATAGTTATTTGTGATGTTTCCAAATGTCTTTGTATGTGTCTTGACTTCTGCCTTTCCATGTTCTTTCCCGTATTCTTTTTCTTATTTTCATTTTGTCTTCAGAATTTGTGATTCTGGTCAGATAACAACTAGCATTAAATAAAAAATTTATGCTGTTTCTAAGTTAAGAATCTGGGTGTTTTAGACTTTCATTCCTGAAGGGTATGTGTATGACAGGGAATAAAAATGATAGTGTATTAAAGACCTGGTTTTATTTACTGTAAAGCATTATGTGAAATGGCCCACTTGGCTCTAACTAGAACACTGAGTACATTCATCATTATTCCCATTATAAATTTCCATAGACTTTTCTATTTGTAGATCATTTGATAATTTTTTTTCCTACATTGTCTGCTTTTTAATTCTACCAGGAAACACTTTCTCTTTCTACAGAATATCCTTGAACTATATTGTTCTATAGCTGATGGCCTTTTATGGTTCACTTGAAAGATGTTCTTTATTTAATTTCAAATCCTACTGTAAGTCCATTATTTCAAAGCATCAGAAATGTTGTCTACCTTCTTTGAGCAACATGCATAAGACTTGTATTTGAAATGCAATGTTATTGACTTAAAGGGGCAGTGGGATTTGTACTTGCAGAGACAATGCTCAAGAGAACAGGGTTAAATGGCTGTCTCCATCACAACAGGGAGGTTAATGTTCCCATGGGACTATATTCTGACAGGGATGAAGTCGATAATATCTTTGGGTGAACTAAATACTCTGATTTTGGCCGGTGACTTGAAGGATTTTTCAAAAATGTGTTTTCTTTGCAGTATATAATTGGCCAGTTAAATAAAAATTTTGTAAAATAGGTAAGGTATTAATTGATTTTGCTTTGCATTGTGGAAGTTTTCAGTCATTGGTGTGTATATAAGCACAAAATTATTTGAAGGAAAATGACATTGCAATTCTCAATAGAGCTGATAAAATTATTCTTAAGAGCTAGGCTTCCTATTAATTTTGAGGAAGCATGCAGAAATTTTTTTCACCCCAACAAATTCATACCTTTTTTTCATGATTTTTTGGTTTGCTTGTTTCTTTTTTAGGTAAGTCATAACTACAGAGTGGACACTAAGGGCCACTGATATTTTTGTGGTTTTGGGGTTTTGTCTGGAGAACTCTCCTTGAAGTTTAGGAAAACTGAGTGTCACAAACAAGGGAGAAATACAAAGAGTTAAGACCTGTAATTCTGTATAAGGCTGTAAAAGAGGTGGTCATAATAGAAATTGTGGTTCTAGAGCATGCTGGTCTTGGTTCTGGTTTGCCATGGTGTGGCAAAAACCAGCAGACAGAATTATGCTTCAGTCTATTTGGTGCCTAGATGCAGCACATTTTGAAAAACTTACACTGCCATTAATTTATTCATTTTTCTGACTTTTTTTCCTTAAAAAATACTTACAGTGAAAATTTCCTTCTTCCACTTATTGTTATAGTCAAACTTAAAGCATAATGCTGGGCAGTGATGGTCTGATTTGCAATTATATTGGAGTGTACTTCTTGCAATAAAAGTCAAATTGATCATTCTTTTAGCACTCTGGAGGGCCCACATGATAATCCATATATGTGTGTCAGTTTTGGCCCATAAAGTTCCTTCAAAACATTCAAATTCCTATATATTTGAAAAATTTAAAGTATTTTTTTCCTAGGAACTGCCATCTCAGAGAAAAAAACCATAATTTTACAAGCCCCACATAATCCCATGGTTGTGTTGACATTTGTGTTGGTGTGTGGGGAAAAATTTCCAAAATACCTATCATTTTTCACTAACATGAAACTTTCTGCTTTCTGGTGCCACTGCAAGTAAGAGCTGTAAAGAAGCCCTGAAGAACTTTCAGGAGGTAAAGAACAGAGTGTTACTCAACAGCTGTACCAAAAGGGAACCAATAGCTGAACATGTAATGGTATCATTAACTGTAGTACAGGCTGTTATATTAGAAATTCTTTTAGTTCTCCAGGATTTTTTTTTAACTTTCTTTTTTGTCCTGCAGACCATGTACTCTGTTTGCAGAAACCAGAATAAGGAAACGTTCCCTTTGTTAGTCAGAGTCTAAGGTGTTGTTTGGAGCCTGTGGAAACTTCAGCTGGAGTTTCCATCAGTAAGAAAAGCCTGAAGGAAAACATAATAGACTGATCTCTCCTGGTGCATACAAGGAAGGAAAAGATGAAAAGGCCTTGCAATTCATGTTCAAGAAAATATATGAACAGTATTCCAAAAAAATTGACTGCTTCTCTGTCTCATGAAATTACTTGATTTTTCAAATTCTTGGAATTGTTCAATTTTTTTGGAGGGAGAGAAATTATTTTTTTATTTTATTTGAGGAAGGATTATTGTAGCTTTTTTGCAAAAAAAGAAGAAAAACTGTACTACAGCCTGCACTGCCTTATGAATATCAGGACATAGTCAAACATCCCTTTTCTGATTTTCAAGAGAAAACATTGACTTTAATATGACAGAAGAAAACCCAAACAAAACTATTAATATCTTGTGAAAGAGAAAAAGAAATCTTCTCATGTTCAATGTGTCATGATTTCAGTACAATGAAATATATTTCTGTGACTAAAGTTTGCACTGAGGCACGTGAATATATCAGTATAATTGGCAATATATTGTTCACGTGTACAGATAAATTCTTTAACTTGCAGTGTAGTTTGGAAAGTATATTCAAATATTTCTAATGGCATCAATCTAACAGGTTTCAAAGCTAAATTAGGTGACATGTCCAAAACTTGACTAAATTAAGTAGAAGGCAAAAATATAAATAGCATATCAGTAGTCTGTTTCACAGTGGAGCATAATGATGATATAAGATTGACTCAACTGGTTCAGTGAAACAGATCACAGAATTCTGAAAATGTTACTTTAAAAATGTATTGCAACTCTCATTACTTTTGTGAGAGTTTGGGGTTTTTTTGGCTTGATTTATTTTCCATGTTTAAACCCTGATTTTTAATTCACTGCTTTTTCACTCTTTCATTCTGTAATAAACTCTGATGTATTGCCACTGTGATACACATACCTGGCTCTGCACTGTGTTGCTTGGCCTGAGACCCAGTTTGTACAGAAATGAGATATTTTAGTCTCATTTAATGTCACTGACCTGGGGCACTTGACCTGATGGTCATAGCAGCCCAGTTGATCTGCTGTCACTGTGTGATACCACGCACCAGCAGAGAGAAATTGCTGTCCTGCTGAGCCAGGGGCGTGTCCAGCATCCTGGAGGAGAGCTCTGTGCCCTCCCACAGGCTCCAAGTCCTTTTTTGGCATTTAGAAGAGCTCTTTGCCCTCTCGGGACTCAGTGTCCATAGTCGGGGCTCTCTGCTGTGAGCTGAGCTTTAAGCTGAAGATGGAGCACTGGCTTGTTTGATGTCTGTGCAGGATAGCATGTGAGGAGTGTTTTAGATCTGTGCTTTGTTTTCTGAAGTAGCTCTCCATTTTCCATTGAGTGGCATCAAGTGGTTTCTCTGGCCTACTTACATTCCATCTCTGACAGTGCATCTTGGCCCCAGCCTTCTGCGCTTCCACGTTGCCACATGAACTAGTCTTTCTCTGTCCCCCCCTTTTTTTGCAGTCCTCAGAGGCAGTTCCTTTCAAGCTGCAGGGCTGAACCTCCATGTGTCTTTGAAGTGGGACAAATTGCATTTCTGGATTAAACATGTTTGTCGCAACAGGGATGGTGGACAGCTACTTGTTATTCTGCAATTAAAATTGGATTATATAATTTTTCTATATCCAGACTAATTTTTACTGCTGATGAAAAATTATAGACATTTCCTTGTTTGCAGTGCCAACTTTTAAATAACCCATAAATTTTTGCTGGTGTGGAACTAAGATACTCAATGTTGACAGCACTTTCTATTCTCTCCTTCTAATTTTGAAGTAAAAATGCAAAGCCAACCAATTTTATAGAAATAATTACATGTTTCTATTTTGAGCCAGTTACTGTAGAAAGAATGGGGAGAAAGAGTGACAACAATGAAGTCAATTATTTACTTTCAAAGGGCTTGTTTTACATAAATAAATAGAAATTTATATACTTGTAACCCTGATCTCTGACCTGAGAACCAGAATCTGTCCTAAAGCATGCCTGAGATATTCACTAATGTCTTTCTTCACTGAAACAGAGTTCTTGACCTTAGTAAGGAATATGTTTGGGCCATAGAACAATTTATGTTTTCCAAAGTGTTGAAAATCCCAAATAAAATTTATTTGGCAGATGTAAGAATGATGACAGCAGCAATACAATAGCCTGTGATGATGATGGATGGGAAAACTTTTTCTCATAGTCTTCAAGCAACTTTAGATCAAATCTTTACCAGAAAACATCTTGGCTATAAACTGTGGCTGCTCTTGGTAACAGATTATGGCAGTGAGATTGCTATATTTCTTGTTCATTGTAGTTTTAACCCATTTTGGGTAGAAGCTAAAGAAAGCTGGGAAAAGCTTTGTCTCTCAGCCCACAAAACTGGGTTTGCCAAACAAGCAACAAACTTCATCTTCTGCCTTCTCAGCATTTTGCTTCCTAGAGGGCTGCATGAACCAATTTGCTTTGCAAAAGAAACATGACAGTGTATCATATTGATATGCTTTTTATGATGTTGCCCATAAAATCATTAGATTATCTCATATACTTCAGTGCAAGTATATTTAGCTATGCATACTCATACCCAAATGCATTCATATCCATTTAAGTGAATTTTGTAGTTAATGAATTCTTGTAGTTTAAATTCAGTTGAGTTGTGATCACATTTCTCTATGAAATCCTATTAAATGACATTCCCAGGTAATTTCATTATGGCAGTTTGAGCATCACAAGAGAGCTATGTCAGGACAAACATCCTCAGGTATGTCTCTCTCTCCCTTGAGATTTGATTAAATTGCAAAATCATCCAAGGAGTCCTTGAAATTGAGAAGCTGAACAGCTTATAAAGGTTCTAGCTTTGAAGCCTTACCCTAGAGTATTTATTTCTACAGTTTTACCCTAGAGTATTTATTTCTTTAGTTCTTTATTTCTTCTTGGATACCTGTTGTCCCTTTAGCTTCAGGAGAGCTGATCTTCTTTGGGCATGGCTAGATGGAGCCATCTCCTGGCCAGACAGCACAGAAAACTTGGTTGAAGAGGAATATGTCCTAAATTTTGCCCCGGTGATTAACTTTGCTGTGAATAAAATAATTATGAACTGTGAGAGAAGTGCTTCCTGCAGACTGGCAGAGTTAGGTTCCAGTTTCAGTTTATAAACATCATATGCCAAAAATTAAAAACCAACCATGTGGATGCTTTCTATGATACTTTGTTGCGCATTGTATGAACAGCTGAAGAGAATGAACCACCAGGAGTGGCCCATTACTATAGCAGAGACATAGTGGTAATCAACCATTTTCTGAACTACAATAAATTTTGGGCAAATCATCCCTAAAATACTGTTTTACTAGATTGACATGAGATGAATGTTGTTGAGAAATGATTTGGTGTTTTGTTTATCTTGTGATGTGACAAACTCAGCCCCTTTGGTGGCTGGATGTCTTCTGTTCTAAAGAGAGCCCTGTCTTCTGCCTCTGCTTGGGACTACAAAGACATCAAGCGATATCTGCTTTCACAATGTGGATTCATCTCTTGGATGGCTGAGCAAACCATTGCAGCTCAATGCTTTTTTATTTTTTTATGAAAAGATGTAATTGACATCAAAATAATTTCTGTCTGGGAGGGGTTCCATACAAAGCTAGCCATCAGTAAAATTCTTTGTTATTTGCATGTAATCCCAGTCATAATAAAGCTAAATAAAAACATTATTCTCTATGAGAGTCAATCTCAGTACCATAACAAAGTGCTTGATATTTTGGGGGCAATTTTCCTTTGATTTGCTTCAGTATAGAATGCAGATACATAAAACAATGGACTATGTACCTGTACAGGCTACTTTAATGTGCCTGAGAAGGTTTTACTGCAGAGTCTCTCCAGTTATGGCGAGATACACACATCAAACTTCTTGCAGCAGCCAAAACTAGAAGTCTGGTTTTATTTGTTGTAACACAGCTGAATTACAAGTTTATGGCTTCTGTTTTATTGCATGGCAAGATGTGAAATATGAGTAATTTGGTGCTGTCAGAAGCTCTGGATGAACATAACTTATTTTTGTGTGGAAATAGGACATCTGTTCCTGATAGCTGTATTACACCTGAAACCTCTATTACAGACACCTCTGAAATTTATACTTTTTTATACTTTAACACTGAAAAGAAATGACTGGTGCTTATGGCAGTGGGATTCAAAAAACCTGCCTTCAGCACACTTCTTTTATCCACCTTTTTTTTTTTTTTTTTTTGCTAGGGCTGGGGTAGGGGGGTTGTGATCAGTTCAACTCAAGTCCCTGCACTCTGGTTTCCTTCTGCAGAAGATAATGTTTGCCTACCCACCAGGGACACTTGTTAATGCAGGTGCTACTCTTTATTTACTGAGTGTAAAGATTTTATTTAAGTATTGAGATGTTATAAAATTCTTGCAAAAACAGATTTGTCAGGATATGAACACATTGCATTCTTTGGAACAATACAAAAAACTCTGGTACAGCGCTGTCTTTTGGAGCAGGTGGCAAGTAATTTCATTCAAGCTATCTTCAGTGTCCTCTATCTTAAACGATAGTGTATCAGAAGTTGAATCAGTTTGTGCTCATTCAACAGTTATTATAAATTGTTAACAATCTTTGTCTAAAATTTGCCAACTCCAGACATTATTTTTAGGCGTGAAATAATTTATATAATTTGTTCAAATAAAAAAAAAAATTGCATGGGTAAAAATACAGAAGGTGTAAGGAACTTAACTTTGTTTTCTAGGAAAATGAATTTAAAAACATCTTTGCACCTATAGCTATTAAGTGTGAATTAATTTTTACTGTATTGTTTTTCAGGGGGATCAGATATTGAATACCTAGATTTTTATAAGCCAGTGGTGTGGTTCTGGATCCTTGTTGGACTGGCTTACTTTGCAGCTGTCCTCAGCATGATTGGAGACTGGCTAAGGGTCATATCAAAAAAGACAAAGGAAGAGGTAAGAATATTTTGAAAATATTCCTGTTTAAAAACTTTGACTAGAAGCCAGGTGAGCTTATAGCTGCTTTTGCTCTTAGGGTGCATAGGTCAAAGCTGTTTGTGCATGAACTGTAATGCTGCAGTTCCAAGTAGGAAACTTGGTAGCAGTCCATTCAAACATACAGCGTTTTATTTTCACATGTCTGCATAGAAAATTAGATTAAATGTATTATTAAATTAAGTGTATGTGAATAGTTGCACTTGATTTATGGGGAAAAAAAATCCTAAACTACTGTTCTTGGTAGTAGGATGTAGGCCTTAATTTTTAAGGCAAAAATAATTCTGTTTTGTTTCTATCAGTGATGCAGGTATGTAAAAAAAGTACTTAAGTGGTTATATTTGAGATACCATGCTTTATAGTGGTAGGAAAAGAAATTTTTCATATAATGCAAGGTATTGGAATGAATTGTTTAACTATCCTTGGGTGTATTTTACCATAACATCTTCCACATAATTATTCAACATTTGTAGTCAAGTGTATTGCTTTCAATTGAAATATGTTTTCATTTGTAAATTTCACTTGTTTTCTCTTGTTTTCACTTATATTTATAATCCCAATGATACAACATTTTGCGTTAAATTTTGTCTTTTAAGAAAATGTCCTGGTTTTGAAAATGTTTGAGGGTAAATAAAATTTCCTTCAATTGTAGCGTGCATAGTTCAAGTTTTACTGGAAGTCTGAGAAATTAATTGTGTTTGAAGTAACATATTATTTCCCTCTAATTTAGCTTGAGTTCTCTTGCACGCTTCAGTTGCTTTATGCTACTCAAATACAAAAACTCTAATTTGTTTTTGATGGAATGAATATGTTGGCTACTGTGCAGTGGCCTGCTACTTACATTGTTTTGAATAGTTTTCCTAGCTGTAGGGCACGGCATCAATGCCTAGATGTATTCCTGGCAATCCTGGAGTTCCCAAAGCCTTTGCTCTGAAGGGTAGCTTTCACTGGCTGCAGTCCCTCAGGGTGCCTGCCACCTTCTGAGCAGGAGCAGGGGTGCTGCTGACAGCAGGTAGGAGGCTGGCAGCTGGGATCAAGCTGACATTGTAAGGAATGTGGGGTTGAGAAGCCATTTTCCATTGCCCTTGCTGTGCTCATGGTTAGAGACAGCACCGTGACAGGTCTGCTCCAAGTGCACTTTTAGCAGCAATTCATAACCACTTAGCCCTGATGCAGAGGACAATATTTATGCTAACAGTTTCAGTTCAAGAGTGGCATCTTTTGCCACATGCTGTAAATTTGAAAGGGTATTTATGACTTCCCTTCCACAATGAGCTTTACTAATGCCCTCCACAGATAGGGAGCAGTAAGTACCATTGAGTGTTCCCATTTGCAGGTTCAACAGCTGACAGGATCACAGTTCTGTTTTCTAGAAAAGCACTGAGGGTGCCTTTAACAGCCAGCCTTACAAGGCTTACACTGGCTGCAGGGAAGCCAGTGCATCACCTCAAATGCTAGTAACCTGCATGGTTGTATTAGGTTATTTTGAAATTCACAATTAGATTGGTCTCACCCATTTTCCCCTCTGCAATAGGAAGAAGTAGGAGAACACTGGCACAGACTCCCCAGGGAAGAAGTCACAGCACCAAGCCTGCCAGAGTTCACAAAGCATTTGGACAATACTCCCAGGCACACGCTGGAATTTTTGTGCAGGACCAAGAGTTGGATTTCAATTATCCCTGCAGGTCCCTTCCAACTCAGGATATTCTATGATTCTAAGAGTAGTGTTTCCTCTGGGCAGTGTCCTGGTGTCTAACTCTTGTCACCTTAGGGTACTTCCTAAATTGTCTTTAGTTTATCCAGGTTACTTGTGTCTGGATGTTTTGGAAAAAATATGATGTGACTGAGACATTATGACTTCAGACTATGCAAAAATATTCTCCAGGCTTGTTATTGCTGTATTTTCTCAGACAATGTTGACACATTTTAGTTCTTCACACTACTTCCTAGGATTAATCTGATCTTTAACCTCAGTTTTCTCATATTCTTTTTTGTTATCAGACAGATATCTTAGTATTTTGACTATATAGTTGACTATATAACATATGGAGGTTTTAATCGTATAGTGATGATAATATATTAAGAATGTTTGAAATTTGTAGCTTTTTGTGAAGCTATTTCAATATAGACTGACTCTGGAAAGGATTTAAAGACACATAAATTCAAGAAACCCAAGAATACCTCTAACACATCAAAAGCATTCCTATTTTTATGGGGGAAAGCTCTTTGCCAGGTTATGCAGTGCTGAGCTTTCTTTTCTCAGGCACCGGGAATGTAATCTTTTCATTCTTTCTCACCTTTACAGCCTAAACAAGCATATTCATTTTGTCTACAACAAGGAAAACTTCATTCTTCAGATATATCAGGGTTCTCTTGGCTGAAGCAGGTATTGGGAATTCTGCTGTATACAAGTCTCATGTATGTTAGGTTAGATTAAAGACAGACATAACATAATTGGTGCCATTTGTTCAATTAATCATATCTCTGATGGTCAGAAATCTCTCTCCCTACTTCTTAGCCCATTGCTCAGGAGTGTGTGAGATTTCATAGCAGGAATAAAATGCTTTAGCAGTTTAAAATTCGATAGTTGTAAAAATGGCAGAGATCAGTTTGAGAATTGAATTATGAGATATACGTTGTGTGGTAGTTAGAAAACACACCAAAAAAACCCATCTTCTATCCTGATGATACTTTGTAGCAAGAAAGTAATATAAATATATTGCATTTTGTTATAACATTGGCTATAAGCATTTTACAAATACTCACTTTTCTAAAGGTTTCATTTTATGATAAAAACTGCTGCTCTTAGCTTATTCTTGCTGTCTTCCTGGGAAAATCTGAGTGAAGATGCTGAAGGAATTTAGTGGAAATGGAGTTATCAAGTCTCTTCTGTGCCAGCAGAAGCCAGATGAGACTGATTTTTTTGTCTTTTTTTCCAGTTAAACTTCAATTTACAGTGGATTGTTCCAGCTTCTGTGGATGCACATTATAGCAGAGGATCCTCTCTACAGTTCCAGTATCCATGAGTGCAATGAAAAACCCTCATTCAAAACATGGAGTGTATTTTTTACCTGTCTTGGGGAAACATTGTCAGTCCTTGGGTAAATAGCCCCTTATGCCTAAAACTAGCCTTTGAAGTGGGAAACAATGTTATATATTAAAACCTATTGAGATGGAGAGCCCATGAAAAAAATCTACAGAACTGTGATCAATGCACTCTCAAAACTGAAGCCGTTCAATACATTTCCTAGGAAATAGGCTGCTGAAAATTTTCCTGAAAATTATGGGGATTGTTATGGGTATCAACAAATAAACAAGGTTTTTTATAGGACTTATATCCTGCTTTCCATGAAGAAAACAGTAGTCTGACATGTTTTAGATACAGGAGCAGATCATTCAATAGTGATCAATTGTGCTGGTTTCAGCAATCTAAGCAGCAAAATCTTGAGAATGTTACCTGAGTCCAGAGTGAGACAGAGAGGTTGCAAGTGTTGTTCTTTGCTTCCCCCCAACAACCAAAACTAGATATCATCAGAGGGATATCTCTTTTGGTAGGCAGATGTAATATTTTTTGCCTTTTCCTGTAGTCTAAAGTAAAAAGTATCAATAAATATCAGCATAATTAAGGCATTAAGGAAAGTCCTCCTTATTCCAGGGAGGAACCATGCTGTTAGTGGATATCACCTAAAATCTGTAGTTCTATTCATATATTTTAACATAGTGGTCTTGTTATTAGAAGAAGTTTACATAAGACTTTGAGGTAAAAATGCATTTCACTGTTTCAACAAAATAAAACATCTATATTCTTTTCAGTCTAGCAGGAACGTTTGCCATATGCAAGTGGATCTGAGACCAAAAAAAGTCTGATCAGAAGTGTACTAGTCCACAGAACTGCTATATTTTGATATTAAAATCCAGATAACCAGTATGTCAGTCAGTTGCTCTGGTGGCTTTTGCCTCCTGAAACACTCTGGAGAACTTTAAATGCATCAAATAGGGAGGGAAGTGAAAGACAAGTAGAGACAGAAGTGGGAGTTTTAGAAGGCTAGATCTGGAAGCCAATCATACAGTAAGATAGATGAAATGTCAGAAAGTCACTGGAACATGCTGTGTGCTGTAATCTTAAGTAGGCGATCTGTCTCTGAAGTTCAACCTCAGCTATACTAGCTTGCCTCAAACTCCCTCCTCTTCATTATTCTCTACACTCTGATTACTCAGAGCACTTTTCTGATTTTAGTGTCTTTGAAAGATAAATTTTCAGCAGGATTTTTTCCTTGTCATATTTTTTCTTTTACTTCTGTGTGCATAGCTTCTGAATTCCAGAATTTTCAGCAAAAAATGCCTACCCAACCAACAATCTTAGGCATTTGGGCTATAGATCCTGGAGGAACCTGCTCCCTTTACTGTGTATCAGGAGTCCAGGTGACAGACTTACATTAGACATCAGCTCAGTTTGGACAAGTCATTTTTTCATTCTGCCTGTCTGTCTTTTGAATTGAGCAACATGCAGCCAGCTTTTAAGACCAAGCCTAAAATTTCATGAGAAGTAGAACATTCACTCCTTGTGGAAACTCAAGAGGCAGCTGCTATATTTGATATTTATAAACAAATTCAACAAATTTGACTCATCTGAATCATCATTCAGTTTAATCTTCTTGGCACCAGTGACAGAGCTGTCACTCAAGCCTGTCAAAACAGAATTAGACTTGTCATGATGATGCTGTGGAGGTTATTGCACTCCGTATATTATTTGTTGCCTTTTTATTAGCTTTAGGCTAAAGGTGCTCACCCAGCAAAAGAGACCCAGTGTAAAGAGAACTTGAGCTCACTTCTCATAGCCCCCAAAGAGAGAACCTAGATGTAGGCTTGTATGCATGAAAAAATTGGCAGACTCGAGAAACAGTTTTGAAGGGTTTTCACCCTCCAGACAGATTGTCCTTAGAGGCTGAGTAGTGAGGGTC